GGGTACGGTAGTCGTACTAGTTACTTACTTCCTACTAGTCGTACTAGTAGACGAACCAACTAGTGTCGGCGTATAATTAGTTAGGTACGACGTAGTAGGTGTGGTGTCAGCTATATCTCTATATATATATATATATATATATATAGTGCCACAAATACCACAAACACCATACCCCATGAGCAACACAGCACACACTCCGCCCCACAACGCACTGAAACATATCACAGTACAATCACAGATAATACTCTATGTTCACAACAAAAACATCACACACTCCACCCCACAACCCACAGAAACACATCACAGTACACTCACAGATAATACTTTATGTTCACAACAAACACATCACATACACAATCAAGCACACTCTCCAGATAACCATACCAGGTATGACCTTGGCCACCTCCGCGTCTTCGAACATGCGCACTGATGTCACCATTTCTTCGTGCCCCTCCAAACTTGCCACAACCAGGCCAGTTGCCAAATCCCAAACACGCGCTGTGCGGTCCTCAGACCCGGTCACAAGCGCTCTACATAATTGTAAATTATTATTATTTTAAATTAGTTCTTATGCCCTAGGGTTTAAGGTTACTAGTGGTTGAGTGGAGATGGGCTTACAATATATCCACAACCAGGCCAGTTGCCTCACCCTTCCTGAACCACTCAAGCACTATGAACAGTAGGAATGCTCGAGATGTCCTAAACCCATGCTCCACATACCTGCTACCAAAAGCAACACAGCTGATGCTCCCCTCATGGCCGATTAGTGTATGGATCACATAGTCACCTGGCAGCATGTAGGAGTGTTGTATCCCAGAGATTTAAATCAAGAGAGAGAGAGAGCGATGATTTGGTCAGTAGTAACCTCGAGAGGGATGTACGTACACGCTGGACTGATTGTGATAGCACACAAAAATGTAGCAGTAGTACTTCACAGTCTAGTTGTATATGCTTTTGTACTTCATAGTCTAGTTGTATATGCTTTTGTACACACACTATGCGGCAAGGCTTGCTATCAGTGCCCTTGAGCCTGCCCAGAATTAGTACGTTACACCGTCGCTGTATTGTACGGGTTCTGATAAGCACATTCGGCCTATCAAGTACTTGCATTATGATACGCTGTACAGGTTCTGCCCTAAAACAACATTCCAGGATGCCAAGTACTCCCTTTATGAAATGACTCACCCACTGTAATGGAGATTGACAGTGGAGGTTTGGTTGTTATAACAATCTCACTGTACATTTACACCACCGAAGCAGTTCGCGAAACTAGGGCGACAAACCGTAACACCGGTCATCTAGGCATATCTTGATATACTCAGTTGATCCAATATCACATATTTATAGTACACAGGTAGAGATACACATGTAAGATACGGGCAAAAAAAGCAAAGCTGGATTTAGTTGCAAAGCACATTTCGGTATCTCGGTCGTTGACGAGGAAGACTGCTTCGCTAAAGCAGAGCTTTACCGTACCCATTAATTCTTACTAACACAGTATGCAACCTATTTATGCGATACTTCAGGAAGCATTTGTAGGACGACAAGCAACAAATACCGATTTATAGATCCGCTGCGCGGATAAAATCTTTTCGCATACACTGAGGCAAAAAACAAAGCCCATCAAAGAATACGCATTCCTATACAAACCTTTTAGCCAGCGCTTCTCTAGTAGCAGTCGACTGCAAAACAGCTGTCGCCACCCATCCCCACCCCCATCACCAATGTCCACTCGTGATCTGTACAGGGCGAATGCAGGCTCGAATCAGCAAATAGGATGAAACAATTAAACGTACGAGAGGTAAACATTTATATA